TATCCCCTATTATAATAAATTGCATAGGGATTTATGTTTACCCTTATCCCATAGGGATTATTTTAGGCAAAAAAATAAGAACGGTGACCCACCAAACCATTTTGAGATAATTAATTGGGTAATGAATCATAAAGTTGCATTTACACTGCTCTATTCAGTGCTGAATTGGTCTGCTGTCAAAGAACTTTTGGTGAATATTGCCAAAAGCAGAGGATTTGATTATCCTTTATGGCCAACCTCCACCCTATCACCTACTGGGAGGTCAAAGAGGTCAATGAGTAGTAGAAGTAGTAGTTAAGGAACAAAAGTGAAATTTCAAGTCAAAAGTACCAACAGGTTCAAGAACAAGCTTCTAAATTAGGGATTTTTTTGTATTCTCATCATTTTTCTTTCAGGAGTGGTGGGAGATGAATAGACTTCTATTCTACATATTTGTCATTCACCAAACATAAAAACCAGCTCAATGGCAGATTCATTAAATGCAGATATTGGACAAGAAAGAAATAATAATACAAACAGTAATTATAATTATAAAATGTTACAATTCCATATATATATATATATATATATATATATATATATATATATATATATATATATATAGATATAGATATAGATATAGATATATAGATATAGATATATAAATATAGATATGAACAATTCCTATTCTATAATGGTGCAACAACTGCAAAAGAGAATAAGTTTAAAAATTACTTGGTAAAGAAGCTCATACCCTGCATTTACATTGCTATATTCACAGCTCAACTGACCTTCTGCCAAAGCAGAAAGTTTTGGTGAATATTGCTGAAAATAGACAATCTGACTATCCTTTATGGCTGACCACCACCTTACCAAGTATGCAGTTTGTAACAATGCTTCCATTTTAGTGTGCAAACTAGCACAAGGTCTCAATTTTTCCATTTTAGTATGCAGGCTAGCATAAAGTTTCAATTGTACAATGCTGACTAGCTTAAAGTTTCCATTGTAGTATGCAGTTTATATTTGTTCCATTGTAGTATGCAGTCTATATTTTTCACATTGTCACATGTAGACTGGAACAATGTTTCCCTTGTAGTATGCAGTCTATAATAATGTTTCCAATGTTGTATGCCTACTAACACAATGTTTCTAGACTTCATACTAAAGTAGAAACATTGTGCTAGGCTGTATACTATGATTAGAAATGATGTACTTTAATAGAGAATGGTAGGCAGCATGAACGCTTTCTAGACTTTGTCTTTGTAATCACATAAATTCTCAGAATTATTTGATGCAGAACTTATATTTACAAGATGGTGCTGGTAGGTTAAGCCACTTTCCAAAATTTGACCAAATGCCAGAGCTTTTTCTTTTATAACAAGAACATTTCAGCACCCTCACATAATTTATTTAGTTTGCAATAAAAAAAAAACTTAAGAATTAAACAGATTTCAAACTAGCTGCTTTACTGACCAATAAAAAAAAAAACTTAAGAATTAAACAGATTTCAAACTAGCTGCTTTACTGACCGATCTGAAGGTGGAATGAATCAACACCAGTAAAACTAGGAATTCAGCCTTCAGCTGTGAACTATGACACATACAATTCACTAATGAAGGAAAAGAAATCAATAAGATAGTATAATACTGCTGCTGGGGTGCTATCATTTGTTACAGTACCAATTTATATTACTCCTACTTCTTTCCAACACACACTTGCAAAGATCTTATTACTTCTGGTCATTGTTTCTGGGTGGTTGGATTGCTTCTTCTTGCTTTCAGCTGATAGTCAATCTGGCAATCTTCTATCAGTCATTTCCAGTCCACACTGTGCTTTTAAGATTGTGGAAAAGATCTATCTGACAAAATCTGCCAGTTCTCTGAAACAAGATTAAATAGACTGTATTAGTCAAAGTACAGAAATATTATAAATTACTTCTGTCAAGGAATAAGTCAATGCTCTTCTTAGAAACAATAAGAAGTTGATGCTGTCTGTGTAAACATTAGCTAAACAATATGGGACACAACTGGTTTAGGTAAGTTCTCTTTGTTTCTTTCTGTAAAAGTGTTTATTGTTGGTGACTACTATGATTCATTTCTGATGACTTATTTTAATAACAGTTCTTTGACAACTTTTCCTGGCAATTCTTCTGTTGACTGACAATGATTGTGTGCACCTGAATAAATATAGGTTTTGACAAAATTCTTTCCCTCAGTTATAATTCAGTTTGACTAGTCAATTCCAACCACAAGATCCAAACTTCAGGACCCATACAATTTTGGGGATTCCCCAATTTCCTTCACACATGCATTTACTATGTTCCATGATTATGTTGCCAGCAACATCTTAGCTTTAACAATTTTGAACATCAACTTTGTCATCCGTTTAGTCAAAATAGCAATTGTTTCAAATCATGATTACTATTTTCTGAATTATCTAAATCTCACAGAAGAGAGTAAATACACTGTTCTACTTAAGGGAATTGATATTTTTATTTTTACCACTTTCAAACCATTTAGCATAGTTTTATTGTCTTCCAAAACTTGTAATATTCTTGGGTTTGCAATATTTTCAGGTGCCATATTGTTACAATGCAAAATTGTGAAATGGTAGATATGGCACTGTGTTCAAATTAGTCTTAGTACAGTATATATTCATTAATGTGCTATCATAGAAGAGCAACCAAAAGAAAGCCATTTCTTAAATTAACTTTCATTAAGCAAAACAAAAAGACACTTTATAAATGAATTGCTGGACATAGCCTTGAAGTCTTGACATGTCATCATCATTTTAGATGAATATGGTAATTATTTATTTTCTCATAGGGACAAAGCTAACCCAAGATCAAGTTTAATCTGGTTACAATATATATACACATGGACAGAGGCAGAAATTGTCTGTTTCTCACAGCTTAGCCTTTTTTTTAATGCTATGTGCATCAAAAAATTCCCTGATCCTATCCTTCTTAATGTAAAGTAGAGGTGCAGGAGGAACAGATCCTCTGGAACTAGACATTATACTTTGGGGGGTAACAAAAAATCTTGTGCTGAGTAAGTATTTGCTCAATTTTCAAATAAATTGGAGATTGCCTAGATAAGAATATTGCTTGCATCACCATGATAAGACATAAATGGTTATTTGAAGCAATTTCAAACACTGTTCATTCAAAGCTTCTGAAATGAGTTTTGGAATATCAATTTACAAAAATATATCCAGTTTGAAAAAAAAGGATTTTTCTCAATATTCATTAAAATTAAGTTGGAATAATAATATTCTCTGTCATGGGACAAAAGTAACTAAAAAATGGTGAGATTCAGAAAGTTAATCAACTTTTACAGGCAAGTCAATTTATTTTTGCATGAATCCTATCCAAAGCATTTTGGAGTATATAAAAAGCTTTGCTTTGTGGTTTCAATGCAACCAGGTCATATATATTCCACAATAAAAGGTAGCAGATCTGACAAATTTGATTTCTGAGAGTAAAAACTTTAAATCTGCTAACAACAAATTTACCAAATTTAAACTGGCTTAAAATATTCTTAAATTGTTTAGCTGATTAAATAGTATTTTGTATTTTGTATGAAGATAAAGATTTTTGTGTACTTTTGTTATATGTATATATACGTATATGATTGATTGACTGATTTGTTTTCTACATTATTTATTAATATTTAGAAAGTATTATACTAAATTATAGAAATGGCTTTAGTAATCCTGATTCTTCTATCTGACATGTTCTAAACTCATAATCTTGAAAGAAGTTGGACACATGGTCTAGTGAATAAAAGCATCGGTTGAATCTAGTAACTTGACTCAAAGAGTTGTGAGTTTAATACCTGGCTACAGCTAGGGTGAACAAAAGCTTGCAAAATTGCGTTAAAGGGAGATAACTAATACTGAGACATGCAGAAGAGACACGGCATGTGGAACTAGACCAATCTACTCTGGTGTATGAAATAAAAGGTTCAGTTTGAAATTTCAAACACCTGAAGAAGGCCCGACCATACAACAGCTGAAACGTCATGAATATGGCAATGAAGATGAGGACAACAGTTGAAAAATATAAATAGTATAAATAATTATGATACTACATCTCAGAAATATAGACAGATGTTATAAATGTTTGCTGTACATTGTATGAATTCCCTTGAATTTACAAATGATAAAAATTAAAGAATCTTTTTGCTATAAAGATAGATAGAAATGCAAGATTCTGAATGTGTACATGTCCATGTTTAGCCTAAGAAATGCAGCAAAAAGTCTTGATCATGGTGTTGTTCGCAGCATAGAAACAAGATTGACACAGAATGAAAACTGTCAAATATAATATATGCAATAACACAGGCAATAGAATTATTTCCAGTAGAATAAATTCACCTAACAAGGCAATTGTGTTGTATAACTGTTTTGATTTCTCTGTTTTAAATTCAGATTTTCATTTGTTTACACAACTTTCTAGAACTTCACACTTCACAACTTTGATTTGAATTATTATTAACACTTTAAAACTCAGAGAATTTTATTTTATTAATCAATAATTTTTGTCATGACCAGATTCATTGAAATTATAAAATTATTTTTAATGTCATTCATACTCAGTATTATCATCAGCATAGGTAATTATATAAAAGAAATATAAATTGAAACTGATTTACATTATTTAATACTTGGTTATATATTAAAATTTTGTGTATGTAATAAAAGGTGGTGCTGAAAAGTTCTCATCCCAACCCACTTTATCTAATTGGACTAACTTCAACCTTTTACAGGCTATTTAAAGCTAGAAAATATTTTTAGATTGTAAGATATTTTGGGGTGGTAATTGGGAGGGAGTAGATGCTAATGGTTTAATGATGCAGGTCTTACTAATTAACCCATAGCTGGGGGAGAAGAGGTGGATTCATACCTTTCCCAAGGCTATTTGTGCATAAGTAAATATAACGAACCCAACTGAAACCGGGACTCAGCTCTTCGATTAACAATTCCAAACTATTATCCATTACACCACCTGCACATCCAAGCTTACAGCATCTGGTATTCCCAAGTGGTCACCCATCTAGGTACTGACCAGGCTCGATGTTGCTTAACTATAGTGATTGTATGGCAATCAGTGTTTCAACATGATGTGGCCGTAAGCCTACATATACATACATACAGAGGGAGTGGGAGAGAGAGAGAGAGAGAGAGAGATACCCTATATACTCATGTATCATGTGACTTTTGAAGACCTAATTTTGAAGCTAATTTTTAGGGGGTCACATCCTACATGATATATAAAATTAGCATATGTACTGTTGGGCCTGGCTAGGCCGTTGACCAATTTATATATCCATTTACTGTAGTCAAAAAGTACAGCTGTATTTAAAATAAACATAATTTTGATAAAACTGATGTTTTACTTAACTGTATTCAATAATAATGCATGTAATATTTCCATATTAGTATCATATTATAATATACAAACATAGTGAATATGCATTTTTTCCATTGTTTATGTTTATATGATGTTTAGCTGATCCAAATCAGCTGATTAAGGCAAACTTCCAAAGGATTTTTTTTATTTGCTAAAAGAAACAATTATAATGAACTATTATTTTTATTTTAGTATACAAAGGTAAATAAACGTTTATTAAAGTAAAAAAAAAACATGCATAAAATTTTTAATAAACTAAAATCCTACAAAGTCACTCTCTGTGTCCATATCATTAAATAAGCTTTGAATTCTTCATCACTAAGGCAGTCGTCATACTTTTATCATTCTCTTTTACTTCTTTAAATTATTTAACTAGAAGATGGGATAAAAATGGAGGAAAAGTGGTTAGCCTATTGTAATTTGGTCTCTCAAAAAAGGAACTCACATGATACATGAGATACATAATAAAATCATATTTCAGAAGTGAAAATTTGAGGGTTACATATGTGAGATTGTGCATTATACGAATATATATACGAATATATATACGAATATATATACGAATATATATATGGTACATGGTGCTATTCAAAAGTTCAAGGTTCAAGGTTGTTTTAAACTCAAGATTACTTTCACAAAAATAAACAAATGAAAAATTGATAGAAAATGAAATTCTTTAATTTCTGGTGAAGTGATTTCAGAGATGTCTGAAATGTTTTGTAAGACACAGGAAATTTACAAACAAGCAAACTAAGCATTCTGTTTAAATTCACCAAATTTTTAAGCAACATCTCATAATAGGAACAGCTTTTCACTAAATCTTTGTTACTGTCTTATATCTGAAACAAAGTTGTCACTGGCCTGACCAAGGGAAATAGCAAGTGCTATATTGATAAAGGTAATATAAGCATTAACAGGTACATTCATGTCTTTGAGGTATTTTCACATACTTGACTGCACTCTTCTTTTCTTTTTGTTGCTTGAATACATGTAATATCTTCAATTAGTTGGCTGCATACCTGCAATCTTATTTTTCTCGCAATGTATTTAGCAGATGTCATAAGGTAGCATGAGTGTGAGCAACTTTGCTCTGATCACACATATCTTCAAGGTTTTGTTTTGCAAAAATTATTTGCAATTTTTTTTTCACCCAATCTCTTTACAAGTTCTGAATAATCTTCTTTGTGCAATTTGACACTTTGTAGAGCTTTTATCTTTCCTCATTCTTACTTTCAAAATATAAATGCAGAAGACACACAGATTTTCAAAAAAATAAAATATTTATTCTCATAACAAAATGTTCTTGTCATTCTGAATGATGCACCTGGCAAAAGAGACTAGAAATTATTAAAAATATCTTAGGTATTTTGGAAATGTTTCTTATTGTTAATCTTTAGTCATTTGATTTTTTTCTAATGAAGAAATAAATTAGAAAAATAATTCCTTGCAATTGTTTTGCAAAAATCACAGTTACTTTATTTTTATAGCTTTTGCTGAACAAAGCACAAGTACAGTTTAATCCAAGATACAAAATTAGAACAAAGTTAAATCCTTATTTTTCAAATTATGGCAAAAGACTATAAAATTGTTGTTGCTCAATAAAGAATTATCATAATTTGTGAATATTTGTAAAACTTCAAAATTATGTTGTCTTTAACATCTCTCAGATTTCTGAGTGCAATATCAATGAGTATTCTTCAAAACACACATGCATGCACACATAGATTCAAGCATAAATAAATACATGTACAAAGGTACACATTTATGAGATACACAAAAATCAGCATGCACACAAACACACACACATTGGCATTTATCTAATGATCTGTTACTGGCTTGATGAAAGCTTTAATATTCAAGATACAAAATCTTGGATATTCATAATTCATTGGATATCTCATAAATATTTTTTAATATTTAATTATTAACATTCAAAATGTTACTGTTTTAGAAACTGAAACAATTCAGCTAACAACAAAAATTGTTTTTAAAATTATAAGCTAAGAAAATGTTTTCCTGATTTAAGTAAACTATGAAAAGAAGGCTTTTTAATGATGTTGAAATAAATGTCTGTTATTTTTTCTATTTGTTTACAATGACATTTCTCTTCTCCGACATCCATCTATCTCATGGGATAATGGTAGTGTTTTGGTCAGTGAAGATCCCCAGGTGGTTTGGCTGAAGTGATCACAATCTTTGACATTTAATACAACTGATATCACCAAAAAATGTAGTAAGGATTATTCAACCTATGAACATTGACCTCAGTCAATAGCTATGTTTACTGTTTCAAAACATTTTCAAAGAAAAATAACCTGAACCATTTAATTAATTTGAGAAAGCAATGTTTAAAACATTATAAGCATTGTGATTATTAAATTTTTATAAAGTTATAAGACCATAATAGAACTATAAACAAAATCTCTGCTAAGAAAGGTATTACATTGGAAAAGTCATAGAATCTTGATACTATACTCTAAGTCAATAAAATAATACAACAGTTTCTCATCAGTCTATATTTCTGAGATGAGGCATTGTAGCTATTTACACTGTTTACATTGTTTAGAATGTTGTCCTCATTTTTCTTGTCATGATCACAACAATTCAGCCATTGTACACGCCGGCCTTCTTCAGGTGATATACATTGGAATTTCTAACTGAACCCTTTATTTAGTCCATGGGGCTAGACTGTTCTAGTTCCACATGTCATGCCTTTTCTGGATGTATCAGTTTCAGTTAATCCCAAGTTGTTCACTTTCTTTATGGCCAGGTATTGAACTCACACCTCTTTGGGTCAAGTCACTTTTGGATTGTTTCCATTGGTTGAAGTAATACAAAAGTAATTACAACATATATCACTGGAAGAAGGCCAGAGAATACAATGGCTGAAACATTGTGGATATGACAATAAAGATGAGGACAACAGTCTGAACAATGTAAATAACTACAGTTTCTCTTGTAAATTGTAAGTAATGTAATTTCAGTGTATATTTCAAATAATTAACCTATTTAATATCAAAAGATACATCCATAAAAATCAGTGCGCACACACACACACACACACACACACACACACACACACACACACACACACACACACACACACCTTTACAAGCAAAAAATTTGTTAAATTTTACCATAACTATTGGAAATTTATTTTCTATATTAGTTTGAAATGGTGACATTGTAAAAAGAATTTAAATGCAACCTTTCTGATAATGTATTTTGTTTCAACAGACTTAAAAAAAACAAGTCACATATGCTTGGAAAGAACATGTACAACACAAATTTCTTTAAGTATTAACTTCCTCTACAGCACCTGTCATTGCGTCACAAAAATACTTAACCCCTAATCAACTAGCAGATACGCTAACACCTTTATTGAATAAAAATTCTACAACTCATTGCAAAAGAACAAGTCACATTCACAAAAGTACAGCATCCACAACAGAAAAGATTCAGATGATACTGGAAAAAACAAAAATCTAAAATATGTAGAGCTCACATTTTTTTTACACTGACAATGCAATAGTGATAAATATTGGTACATGGCCTCAGAAGCAAAGTTACCTTTAAATGTTAATCAGTTAATGCCCTGACCCTGTTTCCAGTGATGCACAGAATTAATATATTACTTTGGAAATACTGGAATCTTTTGATACAGAATATAATTTGTGTAAAGCCTGAAATATGTCTCTGGCTTTGTTAATTCTATAATATTTCTTAAGGAATGACAGAGTCAGTTTGAATACATAGATTAAAAAAAGAATATATATATATATATATATATATATATATATATATATATATATATATATATATCAGGAAATTCTGGAAATCTTTGGTTATGATTATTGGTCATTTGGTCATATTTTGGGAAGTGAGTCCAGCCAAGAATTCATTCTAATAAACAAGGCTCTGAATATGTAGAATAGTTTCAAACCTTGAAACAAGCGTCAAGGAAAATATTTAATACCTCTGAAATATTCAATCTGTAAATTGGCTACAAATTGAAAATAAGATAAGACATAGCAGACATGTTCATAAAATAAGACATATTTGGAAAATATGGCCTAGCAGTCAAATAAAGACACCATCATATTTGAGAATAATTTCCACAATCTGAAACTTAAAAGTTAACTTTTCAGTTAGTGCTTCAATTAACAGTAAGAAGACAGAGAACAATTGAATCTACAAGAAAACTGTGATTTACAATCAAAATGAGCCAATTGTGGGACCAACCAAAAAAATCATAGACTTCAGCATATTGCAGACTTGGCTTAGGCAATTTGTAATAGATATCAGTGTTTGTAATTGTTACTTTGAGTTTGAATCTGATTACAAACTTCTCATGACAACACCTTATGACACCATAACAAAATAGCCTATGTACATAAAATGCTGAATGCCACCCTAGCATAATATACTAAAATAATGTGTAGTGCTAAAAAATGAAAATATAAACTTAGAATTTTGTAATAAAGTAAAATCCAAATTGATGTCTCTAAATCTCAACCATAACAATATAGAGGAATCAAATAATTTTGTCTTATCCTCCAGAGACAAAGCACGTGAGATACTTACTAAAATATCTAGACAGAAAAAGATCCTTCCATGGGATGACAATTCTGATTTGAAAAGATTGATACTAGAAAGAAATGAACAGAAGTGGTAAAAAATGGAAGGGAGAATATTAAAAAATTAACAAAGAAATTAAAAAAA